GTAAAACATAATATTGGTAATTTGATTGTGAAAAAAAAAGGGTTATTTGTTTGTTTTAACGCAAAGCTATACAATGGGGATGCATGCGTTGTGCCCACCGCAAGAATCGAACCCAAAGATTTGGCGTTACAAGCCCTCAAGCTTACCGCTGAGCCTCCAGAGGCCACAAATAAGTAATGAAACTGTCATTTTTAATAGATGCCCTACAGATTTTAACAATATCCTTATCGGTATGGATAATGCAACACCAACAAAGTAAAAGGTTTATCATATAATAGGGATCTTGTAAGCACAAAGTTACACAATGGACTATCTGTGTTCTGCCCACCACGGGTATCGAAACCCGATTTCTAGCGTTGTAAGTCTGCAGACATACTACTGTGCCACTGGGAGCGACAGGGATGGTTTGACGTGGAAGATAAGGAGTCTGCTTTTATATAATACATAATATAAGTAACTGCCTTGCTACTTTAAATAAGTCTTACATTTGAATTTGCATTCTCTTAACAGTATCTAAAATTTATTTATATCATTTTTACTTTTGAAACTTGACAATAAGACGTTAAAAATATGTGAAACTAAAAGATTATTTATAAATTTAAGTAATATATATTTTGTTTTAGAAATATTAATAAATGCGTTAATTTCTCTGAAACAGTTATTTACTGTTCGTAAATCAGAATTTATTTTATTTTATTTTTATTCTGTAGAACTGAAGGAAGATGTTGTATCATCAACAAATGTATTAAGTTTACTTCTTATTTTATCCCAATATATACGCACTCAGTAGCTCAGCGATAAGTCTGCAATCTTACGCCGCTAGAAATCGAGTTTAGATACATGTGATGGGAAGAACACTGATAGCTCATTGTGTAGCTTTGTGTTTAACAACAACCAACCAAACAAAAAAAAGTCTGTTTGTTCGTGAATTCTCACCTGTTACAAAACACTGTACATTACTTACCACGGCTAGTGTACGACTTGTTTCCAGTCTCTTCTGGGTGGTCCTGGTACTCCAGTTTGATCTATATTCATTTTGCTTTCCGATACCATTAGATACAAGGGATATCCCTGTCTTTAAAATCTAAATCTCTGATCTGAACGCATCTTTATAATCTGAATGTACAAATATTTTCCATCGGAAATGGGTTTTACATACCCTTCCCAAAAGCAATCAATTTTCGGTGGTATCACACTACCTACTAAACGTCAAAAAATGTGAAAACATAGTCTTAATACATGCCATTCCACAGCGACTTTATATTGGCTGTGGTTGTCAGGTGCTTTACTGATCTGCAAATTCAAATTGTGCTAATATAAAGTATTCGACCTTATATAGTTATTAAACTCATTTGCCAATATCCAGATTTTCTTCTTGCTGGACACCATCAATGATGGTTGACATTATGAGTTTCTTACCCATTTTATCTATAAGCCTATTAACAAAATTACTTTGATTTTTAATATATATCATATTATAGAAATTCATTAATTAAGATATTCATCCTTGAATTTTCTTAACTTTTGATTTGTTATATTTTTGTAAATCTAAAATATATTTTCATAACATTGCTTAGATGGATACTTTTTGTTTTTTATTACTGTTTTCATTTCTTATCAAGTCTTCTCTTATTTCGTTTGTATACATGAATTTTCATACATTGTTTATTTTTCTTTATGTGTTAAGTCGAATTTCCTATTTTATTAATTAGTTTATAAACTTGGCGTATTCGATACTAACATCTTTATGTGTCTTGACTTTTCCATGTGGTATTACATAAATTTGACAGAAAGTTTGATCGTTTTTAGCTCATAAGATACATCCTTTTCAACTACTTATTTTTTATTTTCTGATTTTTGAATAACGTTTACCTTCAGTACAACAGGAAATGAAACTTCAATAATTCCTTTGTGTGTGTGTGTGTGGAATATTTTTTATTTTGTAGATTTATGCATAATTCATATTCAAACATAGACAATAAATCCAAGTAATCCCCTAGATTATCTGTTTCTTTGAATAATTCAATATTTATATCATTATATGGATTATATTATCAATTTTAGTTTAATACAACTTCTAATTCTTCTAAAAACTTGAATGGTGTAAAGCCACGAGATCTGTCTATATACACCCATTATAGATACAACGTAATATTTTAAACATGTAGTTTTTGTGTGTTTTTTGGCAGTTAGCATTCAATTTGTTTTACTTTCATAGAGTTTTTAACATATATAATTACTCCTTCATATCTATTATATTGTCGATGGTTATAAATATTTCATATCCATCTAACTGATACCAATTAAACTTTGCATCTTCTACCCACATCTCTATCGAAATCAATATATGTACTTTGTAATCTAACTTACCCAATAAGAGTTCAGTTTTGGTTCTATTTGTCAGTAATAATATTTATATGTAATGTCTTTGTTTCCTTTACTTTCTTATAATTATAAAAAAATTTCATTTCTGTTTACATTTAAACAACTTAAATTCCTATATTCTATGCATCAAAACTTGCTCAGTGTTATCCACCATTTCATTCTATAATTGTTCTTATGTCTTCGTCACTTATTCTTCATGTATTTCACATTATTAAGTTTCCTTCCTTTGTCAACTAAATTCAAAGTTTGTCATGATTAAATGTTTTTGTTTTACAATGGTTGTTCCATTATGGATGATACATTATTTTGATGTTGAGCCTATATCATTATTCCTTAAGTTTTATTTTGTATTATTCTTGCTTACTAACCGTCCTTCTCTTTTGGTTAGTTTCAACTGGATTTTGATATCCCTAATAATCATGATGAAATATTATGATTGCGAACAAAGCAAAGTCAATGTACGTAACTGTACTTTATGATAAACAATATAAAGGACCTGTCTCGAACAAATTTAGCTACTATATAAAACTGTAAGATGGCCGGGTTATGGAGCAGGCATTTCTTTCATTCCTTTTTTATTTTCCAAAGTAATAATAATAATGATTTTCAACTATCCGCAACATGCAGTAACAAATAAAAGTATTTCCGGTGTTACCATGGAAAAAGTTACATGAACGTTATCAATACGTCAACGTACATATGTTCCCATTTATTGTAAAGGTATTAAAAAAAGCATGAGATTTTTAACTGTTCTATAAATCAGTGTGTATATAGAAAACTACTCTACTTGCTGAGTGAGATATGATGTTCTTGAACGTGCTTAACAAACACATTCAGAATATAAATAAGTTTAGCAATACGTATAATGTATTTAATATAAACCAACCGAGAACTATAGAAAATTTAGGCAACCAGTGTAAAAATATTTTTTGCGGTGACAAAACCTGCAGATAAATTCCTTTAAAATGATTAGGAAAAAGTAAAACAAAACAAATGTAAGTTTAATATGTATTTACATATAACGGAAATTTCGTGGAGAGCTCATTTTGCATATTTTGTTCGAAGTGCGTTTGATAATAGGGGGTAATATTAAGCGCGTTGAGATGTCTCGAACTAATTACAGTAATTACAGTGAAGAAGCGTGTTCGAATTACAGTACCGTTGTTGAATACATTTATATGTGCTTAAGTACTTGTTTTGAACATTGACTTTCAGTATGTATTATCTCCATCGAATACTGCATTTTGTCGTTCAGTATTTATAGTGAATATCATTTTTTGACATACAGAGTTTCCTTTCAATATTTATTGACTTTAAACTTAAGGACTTCTGTTGAATATTGCTTTCTCGATGTCCAGTAGCTACATAAAATTTAACTTGTAAAATAGTAGTCCGCAGGAAGTTGAAACCTGTCTTACTTCTTTTAAGTGATAACTCTATAAAATAATTACTCTTTACTTTGAAAGATGTTTGTTGATATGCAATGTTGATTATCGATTTAGATTTTCTTTGAAACATTGATGCTCGACTTCCGCTACTCTCACTAAACACTGATGCTCGATTTTGACCACTCGCAATGAATTTTGATGCTCGAATGTTTACCATTTCACTGAATATTCATTCCTAACATGCGGTGCTTTTATATAGTGTTAAGCATCAACTTTTATACTTTTATACTACTAGTATTACCATTGGCATTAAATTTTGCCCCCCCCCCCAGTGGCACAGCGGTATGTCTGCGGACTTACAAGGCTATGATTTTTTTAATATTAGTTCGTATCTAATGAAAATGATTAAACATTTTTCATTTATTGATTTATTGATTATTTAATGATTTTTTAATATTAGTTTGTATCTAATGAAAATGATTAAACATTTTTAATTCCTTGTTTACAAATATAGATTTCATATACATAAGCAAAAGATGCTGGAAGTTCACCAAGCTCTGCTTACGCTTTCCAGAGAAACGTGAAATAACTTTCTTGTAAGGAATACGTTGGTAGTTGAATAGTCATAAAACATAAGTAATATTCTTGAAAATCAGACATTTCATTTTCTTTAGTTCAGTGAATATATTTTTTTTGTTTCAAAAGGACGTTTCAAAAGCGGGAAACTTGCAACAGCAGAGAGAAGGTGGTTTTATTATATTTGCCACACAGACAAAAGCAGCATGCAAGACTACAGTGGTTTCACATTGTTTAGTTTCGCGTGTGAAAGAAACAAAAACGTCACGGACTTCGTACCGAGAAGTAAAATAGCTAGAATATATTCTTGTTACAAGAAAGAAAAGAAAAATATTCTATTCGAGGCAATTTATACCTGTGTATGGCTGCTTAGTTTATTCACTTAATGTTCTTTCTTTTAGCACAATTACTGTTATAAATTAATATGATTTACGTTACAATACCTCCAACAAGTGATGTTCTACCAGCTTTGGGCTTATTCATCGAGTCATGTAGACGTTGTCCGATAACTGCGGCATCTTAAGGTTAAAGTCTGCTTCAGTAAAAAATAAAGCTACATGTATAGGGGGCGTGGTGTTAAAACAAGAAAAGCAGAGATAAAGCTTTTTTTGTCTCTTAACTGAGGGGAGTACATAGCATCGCGTGTTCTGTTCTCATAACTCACTCGCACAACATAAACTAATTATTAAGTCAATATGAAACAGAAGTTGAAGAAACTGATGGTAAATAAATCGGTACACTCTGTTATTTTTTTTATTGTATGTGAGTATGGATTTATACGGTTATATTGTTTACTGAAGATCTTTTTCCACAATTGTTAGTAAGATAATTAAAGGTTCATTAGATTTTTCTTTTTGTTTTTCTGGCTTGATTTGAAAATGGAATAATATAGACATGAGTTACTAGTTAGCTATTAAATAAATTAATAAAATTTACTATAGATTTTACGATCAAATTGACCTCATGTACATCGTTTTTTATTCTTTTCTTTGTTTATTACTTAGCCCAAAGTTCCACAATGGACTATCTGTGCTCTGCCCACCACGAGTATCGAAACCCACTTTCTAGCGTTGTAAGCCCGCAGACATACCGCTGTGTCACTGAGGGGGGCTTATTATTTTGTATTTCGGGGACAATTTTATTTAGTTGCTTTATTTTTCACCTTTTACGATCACAATTTGTTTCGATCATTTGCAAATATGTGTATTTTCATTTACAGTATCTTGTTTTGAAGTATACATATTTTCGAATTTTTGTATTCCTGTATATTTTTAAGCACGTGAACTTTCTAGCTATATTTTTGTTGTTTTCTAAGCGTGGTATGTCTCTTGTTTATTTCTGCGTCGTTTTTCCAAAACAAGTACACTTTCACATTTATTTCTCAGCACCATACTAGTCAAATGTGTTTTGTTTAGATGGACCTTTTTTATCTATTTATCAGTTTAGCTGTTCTAATATGTTTCGCAGGAAGCCTGATATTACTAGCTGTTAGTTGACATAAGAAAGATTTGAGTATAATTCTGTCAGCTAAATCAAAGATTGATCAGTCTTAATAAAGAGAATGTTTGAAAAAGTATTAATTTAAAATGCAAAATATTGTTAAAATAATATCTTCTCAATTTTTTAATTGTTCTTTGGCCTTATTTTGCATCTGAAAGTGTATTGTATATTAATATTTTATACTCAGACTTTTAATCTAATAGCGTTTATTCTCTTCTCTTACATGTATTTTATTTGTCCCTTCTTAACTCTTTAATTACCAGTTTGTTTCTAAATATTTTAATATTGTTAAGGTTCATATATTGCATTATATTAAGTATTCTTTTTATGCAACTGACCAAAGAAAGTGGACAAAATTGCCCATTTTCTTCAAAAATACATAACTAACCCCAGCAGTAATTATTGGGACTGACTGCAACATTGTTGGTGTTTTTGTTTGCTCTTTTTATGACTCGTATGTTATTAAAAACTCTGAAACCAACAAAGTCGTGAACCCACAAGCAGTTTGGTGCATAAATAATTTAAAAAGCTGTTGGAACATTGATCTAATTGGTAATTCTAAGCTAGAAGTGCAGAAAGTACTTTCAATTTGAAACCAGTTAAAAGTTTGTGAAATCTAATTAAAATTAAAATTTATTATCAGTCAACTTTTTCGTAGTTTTTGCATGAGAGTCTTTGTAAAAATGTGTTTTTATAAATAATAATGATAAAAACGACAATAGAACATTTCATTCCAGTGCTTTTTTATTAAAATTCTGACAGGATACTTTTTGTAGCTCTCATTATCCCTTTATGTTTCTTAATATTGTGTAATTTGTGTGAAAGATGCATAATTTTACTTACATTTATGATCATATGTGCTTAGACATATCCGGTGAGAAGTACGAACGATTTTCCTCCCACTTCTTCTCTGACGTTATATGCTTCTGACGTCACTTCCTGCCTTCATCAACCAACATTACGAGAAGAGGTAGATGACGATTACAGCGTCGTAGCAGGTAAACAATCGCTGTACTAGTTATATTTTTTAATTTAGTTGTGAGATATTAGGGAAAATGTTTTATATGTAAATAAAGTATATTATTTTAGTGGTTCCTATTTCTCAGCAAGTTTCCTTTTCTCTGTTTATACAATATTTACTACTAAGTAAAGCTAGAGTAGAACAAATATGTAGTGATAAAAGAAAAATTGTTGGAAAGAATTAGAATCGTTTACTTATGCATGGATATCTATATACTACACGTACACTACACAAAGTCCATATGTAAACTATTTCCAGTTAAAACTTTCCATCGAATTAACTCGTGCTAAACAAAATCAAGAAATGGAAGCCATTTATGCACTTTGTGTTGTAACCAGTGGTGCAGTCCTGCAGGGTCGTACTTGTGTTGTAACATAAGCAAGCTTATTTGTGAACGTTTGACATTTTATATGAGGTTTGATTGTTGGTAAAGTGAATATAATTTTTACTCCAAAGGTAGTTTATTTATTAGTAAGGGTCACTTAAACACAAATTTGCTTTGGGTAAACCTCTTGTAAGAATTAACTCAAAGGAGAAACTATTTGAGTAACTTGACTCAAAGAGGGAGTTGAAACGCAATAATTCAGTGGGAATAATATTAACTCATAGTTTGATCATCACGTGCTTGGTGTCTGTGAACATAATATAATTTAGATAAAATTTAATACTAGCCACTCATTCGTAGAGATGGGTCAAAGATAGATATACTGTTAGTTTGATATTTGGAAAGCATGAACTGAATTGTTAAGCCCGTTGTATGGGTTAGATGGATCTGAATATGGTCACTCTAAATGTGTGAACTGTTTGTATAGGTTAAGTAGATGCTAGTATGGACACTCCGAATATGTGAATTGTTTGTATGAGTTAGATAGATGCAACTATGGTTACTCCGAAAGTGTGATCTGTAACAGTGTAATATACCTATAATGGAGTACAACATACGAACATAAGATACATCACGTTGTTAACTTTCGACGAAGTTTTGTAATAAAACCAGTAAATAAGTAATGTTTGATAATGTAGTTTCTCCAGGAAATATTTCCATCCTCGATTAAGATCCATATTTGATGGGAAGGAAGGGGCGGTTGGGAATCATTAGGTTATTTTTCATTAATTTCTTCTGTGATTTTTGCTAAAATCTAGGAGTGGGGAGTTATAAGGGGTCATTAGGTGATTCTATTTTTCGATTTCTTGATTTTTGCTAAAACCAGTCATTTCCGATGGGGGAAAATATTTTCAGTTCGGGAAGAATTTGTATTCAGATTTTTGCATGTAAGTTTATTGGGTTGATTCTCAGTTCCGTCAAGATAAATGTTCTTGCGTGTAGTTTAGTATTACACTGAACCTGATTTGTAAATATGTTCTAAATGAGTGACAGTATTATGCCTGAAACAAATGAATTCCAACAACTGATGAGTAAAGTAACCAAAGAGACGGAAAGAAATGAATATCTGGCAACCGACTAGTGACTAATACACTGGTGAAAGTCGAAATTGTGAAGGGATGAATATGTTGGAAACAGTTGAAGTTCTGTAAGTTTCTGCAATACCCTGAAAATAGTCGAAATTTTAAAGATATTTCCAGTTCGTTGGACATATTAGGTGTGGTTCCTAAGACGTTTCAAATATGCTGAGAATAGGCAGAATTCTAAAGATTTTTCCTCTACACTCAAAATAAGCGAAGTTCTAAAGGTGTTTCATATGTGTTGAAAGTGTATTTCGAACGTTGAAATAGTGATTCGTATTCAGTTTGTTAACAAAGTAGAACTAAACGGAAAACAGTTGGCTGTCTCATTAATGGAAAAGTTACCATTTTGATGCTCAAAATTCAGATTCGAGTTTTTAATTTAGAACTTATCGTCAGCATGCTGTAAAAAATGTTACTATGCTTGAAATAAAGACTATAAAACAAAGAAAACTTGAAATAGATCTCTGACAATAGCAAAGAACGCAATATTTAGAGCTGCTGGAAACAGTAAATTACAACAACAACAACAAAATTGCCAATACGCTGTAAGCAATGAAGTTCTGGCATTGTAATTGCTACTAAAATGACGTAGTTTCTAGCAAAGAAAAATGTGATTAATATGCTAAAAACAATTGTTTTTTGATAGATTAAAAATTTACCAGTAAGCTTAAAAAAAGTTAACTCAGTGACACCGACAAAAAGAATAAATGTTCTGTAAATAGTCGGAGCTCTGACAGTGGAAAAGTGATCAGTATGCTGAAAATGGCCAAATTTTGCACGTTTAATGTATAGAGTACTATGTTATAGACGGTCAGATTTCTAGTATTAAGAATTTGTTAATTCACTCAGTTAATAGTCAACTGTCAGCTAATGAAATGTTGACCAGTACGCAAGAAACAGTCGGTCTTCTAGAAAGGAAAGTGACCACTGTGTTGGAAACTAAATAAATTTAAAAAGAAAGAGGAATCGAAAATCTAAACGGAAAAAGAAGGATTACGTAAAAAAGGAAATACAGACTAAAAACAGAGAAAAGGAAAAAAGAAAAACTGGTAAAAAGAAATTAGGTTAAGATTGATGAAAAAGACTGATTTAAGAAATGAAATAAGTGTAAGTGTGATAAAAATCAGATAAAGAACGGATAATGTAATAGAGAAAACGCGCGTGAGGGTATTTATGAAATTGAATTGTGATAAACGGATATTTAAAAAAAAGGATAAAGACTTGAGAGTTATTATATGGGAAAAAGGTGAAAATGGAAATGTTAGGAAGAACGATTTAAGTTACGACGTGGCTACTGTATTAAATCTCTCGCCCTCCGTGTTAGTGGAATTCATGTTTTTACATTAATTCTATACAGACGAACACTTACACAATTTACTGAGATATTTTTAATATAAAAAATAAATTAAAAAAATTCTGGCTATTTTTAACTTTATTTCTACAGACTCTAATTTCTGTAGCCATATTCCTCGTACAGGACATTACCTGAAATGTAAGGTGGAGAAGACTTGCCCTGCCATTAACTAGACGTCATTAAAAAAAGAGTTTTACAACATCTCTTCGTAAATTATATTTCCTTGTAAGCCTTTTCTTAAGTGAATTAAGTACATATAGTAAACGAGAAAGAAGTTATGTATATTTTGAACAAAGCTTTGTTAAAGCGTTTATTTCATTAAAGTACATATATTAATAATTAATATAATAGGTGGAGACCACTGTTAATTTCTTCCACTGTGGCCAATAGAGTCATTAAAGTACATATATTAATAATTAATATAATAGGTGGAAACCACTGTTAATTTCTTCCACTGTGGCCAATACAGTCATCAAAGTACATACATTAATAATTAATATAATAGGTGGAGACCACTATTAATTTCTTCCACTGTGGCCAATAGAGTTATTAAAGCATACATATTTCTTTTTTGCTTTGAGTTTTATTTTGGATTAAAGTAATGGCTTTTTACAGAAAACATAACTTTGAACTTAAAATTGTTTGTACAGACAAGCCCATACTACAGTATGTTTCTTGAACTTTTATTCCACTGGTTTAATAATGTCAAATAGCAGATATATCATATGCTAAGACACAAATCATAACTCTCGTCATACGAAATCACTGACTATTGATTTATGCTTGCCTTGTGTACGTGATGTTTTTCATCTACGATGCATCACTGTTAACCACCTTGTTAAAATAATGAGCCTCAGGGCTCAAACGGTAGGAGCTTAGTAGACGATAAAAGTAGTCCACTGAAATCGAAAATAGCTCCCCGGTGGCTCAGCGGCAATTCTGCAGACTTGTAACGATAAAAATTGGGTTTCAATACCCGCGTTGGGTAGAGCACAAATAATCCATAAAGCAGCTTTGCGCTTAACAACTAACAAACAGGCGGAAATTAAAGGACATTACGAGTAAATTTTATATATTTACGTTTACGCTGTATATATATGCTGTTCTTTTTGTAACGAATAATAAACTAGTGGAAGATTTCTCGTCAGAACCATTGCTAGGGAATAACAATAACCACTGTTTTATATCCATAATAATCTATTTTATTCTGTCAACAATATGGAATTAAAAAACTTTCAGTGAATAGAACAATGAAGCTAAAGAAGCACTAGAGACATTTCTTAAGTAACTGTCTTCGTTGTTTTGTTTTTTATATATTAAGGCTTATAAGGCTGTATTTATATCATTTGTTTTTCATGGAACAGCTTTACTTTCCACCAGGTGATAAAATTTTAATTTCTCCTAAATATTAGCTCGTAAAACGAGGCTTTACAAAGTTTGCATTAAGTCTATAGTTAAGGATTGCGAGAAGGAATAAGTCATAAAAAAAATCCTGAGATTTAGCAGTTTCAAAAGTTTTATCTATTAGTAATGTGTTAATACAAAACTTTATAGCATAACATATTTATTTATTTTGAATATTTCTTCCGCCCTCTATAGCTTTAAATCCGAGTAAAGTTTTTGTTTTATAGTTGACAAAATTGTCAAGATAAATACCAATTTGTTGAAAGCACAACTGCTAAGCTAATGTGGTTGAAATACGTTCTCTCATTCACTTTCAATTGCTTCGCCCTCCAGAGGAGTATCCAGGGTTAACGAATGCCGTCTCGTTGCCTAGCGACATTAATTTTACCGAGGAGGATGAGACTAGGATGGAATCAGCTGATGGGTTTTCTATGAAACGGTAGGTTATTGTTTGTTTATTATTACTCGGTATCGTTATCAAGTTCCATTACATTTTTTTAAACTTATAGCTTGATTTTATTATGCTTCACTTGCAGTGATTAAATGTCAGTAGATGTTACTAATGAAAGTTGTTTTGCGTTGGAACAAAATTATTTATTTGATATTATGTTATTTCTAAAATGTAAAATGTATAGTATGACTGTATCATAGTTAGACAACATATATCATTTTCATTTCAAATTTGAGTGTCTTACATTAAGAACGTAGTGTTTGAAAGGGTGTTAAAAATTTATAGTAATTTTTTTGTCTCTCGTATTGACAGTGTTTTCAAACACACTTCTACTTCTTTATCATTGAGCATAACTGTATAATTGATATGTGTTAATACTAGGGATGCACGGGTACTCGGACGGGTATTCGGCTACCCGGTAATACTCGGTTCCAGCCGAGTGTTGAAGTTAGGTATCTAAGCCTTAATATTTGTGGCATCTAACGTGGTACTGAAAGTACAGTCAATAACTGGTCTAGTTGAAGAAGGAGAAAAAAAAAAAACGTGTTGCGGGCAACAAAGACTGACCTCTCGCTGACGGGGATTCGGAGAACATTAGGGGTTAATAACAGGCATGGCTTGAGAAGTGGATTTCTGAGGAAGTAGGGGTTTTGAGAACAATAGGGGTTAGGGTTTGAAAAGTTGGAGCTAGGCATTGAAAGTTGAAAGTAAAACTTGAATGTTCTGTTGGTGATTATTCGGTTAAATATAATAAACGTCAATTTTGTTTTTGTTTCTAATTTTTGTGTATGTTTTTTTTTGGGGGGGGGGGGCAGGGAAGAACACGGACCCTGTTGACACCAGGACCCAGCATAAGCTTAGTGACCGGGTACCCGGACCCAGTATTCGGCCAAATTTTACTACCCGTGCATCCCTAGTTAATACCTCTGTAAAGAGTGGCTACGCAGCATTTCAATACGCTTGTCCGGGTTACGGAGATAGAGTGTCTGTGCATGTTTTCATACACTTGTTCTTGTTACATGAGAAAGTGTGTTTGGATATAGACGTTTTAGTACACTTTGTTGATGTGTCACATCAATTTATCAGAAAATAAATTGGAAGATTCTTGTTTTTCTAAAAGACTCATCAATAAGTCATAAAGATACCCAACCACGATATCTCCAGAAACAGAATAAGGAGTATCTTGAAATCACTTTTATCTGGAATGACATTAGGAGAAAATGGAAAGTTCTGCCTCCTTTTTTCTGTCTCAATATTGAAGTTTGGCTTTGACTTCATTGTTCCAAATGTCTGTTTTCTTATCTTGATTAGGATGAATGTCTTGTGTTTTTCCGCATCAACAGAATACGTTAATGTGAATAGTGATGTTCTCTTCATTGAATTTATTTGTCAAGGTAACATCAGACCACCTGTTTTGATAAACTACCTGGATAAACAAACCTTCCACAGAATCGTGTTCCTTACATAACACCGTGAACGATCTGATGAAGTTTCTGTAGGTTTCAGTTACTAAGACTTTATCGCCTTACAACCAAGTTTAAAATAACTGATTTTATTACATTTCTTGTTCTAGAAACTACGTTAAGGAATTTTTTTCCAAAAGTATTAATTTAACATGACCGGAAGTCTTAAAATTCGTAGTAAGTTCACGTTTCCACTTGGTGCTAAAATAATGAATTACGTTTTACTTAGAGAAAGTGGCTGCACACACGTTTCAATGCTCTTGTCTGGGAAACATTGTTTGTGTGTTTGTTGAAATTTGAGAGCTTATTGCGCTAGCCATTCCTAATTTTAAATGATAGACTAGAGAGGAAGCAGCTAGTCAAAACAACCCACCGCCAACTCTTGGGCTACTTTTTACTAATGGATACTGGGATTGACTGTCACATTATAAATCCCTCACTGCTGAAAGGTCGTGCATGTTTGTCGACGGGTTTCGATCCCGCGATTAGCAGATTGCGAATCGAGGGTCCAATCCATTAAACCATACCAGGCTTGCGCGATAAAATTCTAGTAAACGTTTTAATATGTTAGTCCGTGCTTCTTGGATACAATGGTTGTGCAAGTCTTAATACGCTTGTTTGTTCTAAGTGGAAGAAATAATTGTTCGTGTTAGGTGAAGAAAGTGGTTAGACATGTATTACTACACTTATCAGTGAGTAGTTGTGAGTATTTTGATACGCTTGTTTGTATTTCGCAGATAAGGTGGTGATACAATAATGTATTCGTAAGTGCTCCGTGTATAATTATAATCACGGAGATACATAAATGTCCTAGGTGTCATTTGCTTCGAGAAACGGTTATTGCATAGTATTATTAGAAACCAATCCTATAATTGCCTATTTAAACTGATGTTTCTTCGCCGATGGCAATATGATGATCTCAAGCAAGACTTTGATTGAGGATCACCAAGTCTTTTTTTTTTCTGACCTGTTTTCTCTCCCGTGTGTGACCACGATAAGTTTATGGACTTACAATCCTTAAATCCGGGGTTCGATTCCCCGCGGTGAACACAGCAGTAAGTAGTCCAATGTGGCTTTGCTCTAAAACAGCCAACCAACTGGTCTGTTGTGAAATCGTTCTCAGTATTTCTTTCCTATAGTAAGTTATTTGTAGCACATCTCGTGTAATTGTAAAGTGCCTTTTAGAGGTTTGTGAATAAAATAATATTTATTAAACAAGAGTTTGGCTTAGGCTAGGAAAATTTCCACGGACGTTTCTTTATTTGGATGTAACAATAAAACGGAATGGTTCTGTAGTAATCACCTGCTCCTAGTCTTTTCCTTAAAGAATTGAAAGTATATTTCAGGTTGACTGTGAAGAAAACTCAAGAAATCCAAGACATTATTTTAATAGTAAAGTTCACCGAATACCCTTTAGGTATAAACGAATACATAGGACCGTACTAAAAGAACAAAATAGCGTTTCAAATTGAGAAAAATTACCAGTTTTGGAAATTGTTTGTTTGTTTGAAGTTAAGTTAAGTTAAGCACAAAACTACACAATGGGCTATTTGTGCTCTGCCCACCACGGGTATAGAAACTCGGTTTCTAGCGTTATGAGTACGCGGACATACCGCTGTGCCACTAGGGGTCAGTTTTGGATTGAAATTCAGATTAAAACCTGAAGACATAATACCGCTCCAAACTAAGAAAAATAATTCCTGTTTAGCTTAACAAAAATAAAAGCGATTTAAGCAAGTTTAAGAAAGAAGGAAAAATAGAAATTTAAGTGTGAAAACATCGTCAATTCAGAATAGGGATTTAAAGTCGATTATATTTCCTCAGCAAGAAAACTTTTATATAGAATAATTTGATATATTGCTGACGTTATAAAAATGTATATTAGCACATCTTTGCAGTTTGGTGATAATACAAGATTAACGGTTGTAAGGTAGTGATTAATTTGATAATTTTCGAAGTGGCATTTCTTAGCCAACGAGATCTTCGCTGACCTTCTGCGTGATCTTGCTTTTGTCGTGTTGGTTTAACCACACGAGTCTATGATGCGGGTTTTCCAAAAACATATATTCCTACATGCATCTACACTGAGACATATATCACTATGCAAAATAAAGTTGCTTATTAAGTCTAACAGTAGTGTCTGACCTGAAAGACGGATAAAGCTATTTTCACGAAAATTAAGTGATAATACAATAAGGTTGTCTTAACACGTCACTACTTTTGGCTGAAACGTTATATAAACATAACTAAATGTACGAAGAGGAAGGAGGACAAAGATGCGGAAGTAGGATCTGGACACCGATGAGGATAGACTGTCTATCAAAAGTTTTAGTTTAAAAGATATAAATTAACTCAGCTCAATTTTAAAAATATTGTCTAAGATGCCACGATAATTTTAAGCACCATTATGTATAGGCAGCGTATTTATTGTTTCACGCTGCCTATGGCTGATACTCAGTATAGTAACAGTCCAATAATGATACTTGTAGAATGTACTTCAAAGTAAAAATGGTTAATCGAATGCATATTATTACCCTAAAATATTATTCAATTGATGCCATATCCAAGCACCCATCTTTACTCACTTTAAAAGATATGTTGCAGCGCACAATAAACAGTGGTTAAATTAGGATTTGGGGATTTTGAAAGAAGTGGAACTGCCTTTTCTGATCCACTTGGTAGAGGCAGCATGCATCGTATCGTTATACAACAGAAGACATATACTCCCTGAGAACACATTCAATTGTTAAATGGTGCCGTCTTGCAGGTTATTCATTTACATACATTATCACAAATGTTTTAGAGTTACAAATTAAATAACCCAGTTTATTTTAGAGAAGACCAAAAACGCTAATGTTTTGAATCCTCAAGAACGCCGATCCGGACCGGTCTTCCCAAATTTAATCCTGACAATAAATCTAATAGAGGATTCAGTTTTGTCATTTTCAGCTTAAAAAATAAATATTGTTTTTTGAGTTTCGCGCAAAGCTAC